CCCGTCCATGTGGAGCATCATGCTGACAGTCTGTTCTCAATCAGAGGGCATGGAGAAGGTCGTTTGTATTTCTGCCGCCAAAGTCCCCATCGTCAAGATATGGGATCCCGAGCTTGGTTTGGCATGTGATATGAACGTCAACAACACATCTGCTTTGGAGAACACTCGAATGGTGCGGACCTATGTTGAAACCGATCCGCGGGTTCGTCCGTTGGCTATGATCATCAAGTATTGGACAAGGAGAAGGATAGTCAACGACGCCGGTAGGTCCCAGCCTTGCTCTTACACGTACTTGGTTGCCTCTGACTGACGTTACTCTCCGCAACAGCTTTCGGCAGCACTCTCAGCTCGTACACGTGGATTTGCCTGATTATCGCCTTTCTCCAGTTGCGAGATCCCCCAGTCCTGCCGGCGTTGCATCAAAACAAAGCCATGCGGCTTTCCAAGAAAGGAGGGCCCGAAAGCACCTTTGCCGACGATATCGATCGTTTGAAGGGCTTTGGTGATAAGAATAAATCGACACTAGGGGAGCTTTTGTTCCAGTTCTTCCGGTACTACGCGCACGAGTTCGACTACGACAAGCATGTCCTCTCGGTGCGGCAGGGGAAGAAGCTTCTTCGATCCGAGAAGAAGTGGGCAAATAACCTCTGCGTCGAGGAACCCTTCAACATTGGGCGGAATCTGGGTAACACCGCAGATGAGTACTCATTTCGGGGACTCCATCTAGAACTTCGGAGAGCATTCGATTGCATCGCCGAGGCAAAGCTGGACGAGTGCTGCGAGCAGTACGTGTTTCCGAAGGAAGAGCAGCCACCGCCTTTCATCCGGCCACCAAACGCCCCTCGTCCGGTTATGATTCGGAGTTCGTCGCAGAGCAACCAGTCGGGTCGCGGAGGGCGAGGCAACTATCGCGGAGGGCGCCACTCGAACAATTACCGAAGCGGGAACTCGAGTAGACGAGCATCATCGGGAGTGGCCTACGACACCAACACGATGTATATGCCCCAGAATCCGATGACACCGCAGGAAGTGGCTTGGTACCAGCACGCGGCCGCCCAGCAGCTGCAGTACCCGGGCATTGTGAGTAGCAACCCGGTGAGTATGCTTGCACTGGATTCTAATGCGCACCTGCAGCTTTTCAACCAGTCTCAGGTGCTCCAGATGCAAGCTCAAATGGCAGCTCAACTACACGCTCATCAGAGGATGCAGGGCGGCTCATCTACGCCCCAACAGCAGTCTCAGCAGTCTCAGCAGGGCTCATCTGAGCGCTCGAGGACGAATTCGTTTGAGAACCCCCCCCTCAGCGCTCCTCTCGCTGCGTCGGACTGGTACAGCATGTACAACTTGCAACTCCAGGCCTTCTATGGCGCGCCGGCGTACACGTACCCACCCTCGCCGGCAACCACGTCTGCTGCTGGACCAGAGTACAGGAGGCAAAGATCGACGATGGCAGCTGACTCGGGCGCCTCAACGTCGGGAAGCTCGCTTAGATCGCAATCCCAACCAGCATCACGCTCGGCTCCTCAGGGCCAACCAGGCCAACCCTTCTCAGGCTCGGCGCCGCAGTCAAATGGCATCGCGGGCCCACGACTCGCTAACGGCGTCTCTATCCCCAGCTTCACGCCGGAGGATGCAGACTATGATGCGGTGCCTAGACAACCGAACAAAGACTCCCCAGCGTCTGAAGAAGGGACGTACGCTGGGTATTACGTGGCTGACAGCTCGAGCCCAAACCAGCGGGCACAACCCATTCCCAACGGTATTGCCTTTGGTGATCTGGCACATAATGCCCAAGGCCGGCGCAGATTGTCAACCGACCAGATCCCGCAAACATTGCTGGATCGCCGTCTCCGAAGGAAGTCCCGCTCCCCGTCGCCATCGCCCCTGGGTCATGCCAGAGCGTATTCGATTGGCACCCAGGCAGGCCCATCATCTTCTGCTCCGATGACTGTACCAGCCAACCCGAGCAGTGGCAACCGATCAGCCGCTCGGCCTCTGGTGGTCAATGGTACTGGGTCCTCGGCATGGCGGGCAAGCTCGACCCCTTCGCACAGGCAAGGATCCTCCAATCTGTCTGTCACTGATAATATTGCGCGGGAAGATAATGTCGCACTCTGTCCCGACAACGTCTACAACGTTCCAGGACTAGGCATCAGCACGCAGCATGCACCTGCGGTAGACCTTCCACTCGCGGTCACAGCAGACGTTGCCCGTTCCCAAAGCTTGATGCCTGAGACACGGACACCAGTCATTGTGAACGGAAGCACGAATGTGTCAACCTCCTCTGCCGCAGCAGGCATGCCTATTCCTGGTGCTGTTCAGCCCATGGAGGACGCCTCTTTCCGAGACCGCATCAACCTCATGGGATTGACGAATTATCAGACTCAGCAAGCAGCATTCCAGTCTGATGCCGCAAGTGGTGTACCAACCTCGACGACGAGACAAAGGATGAGCACTAGACAACATCAGAACGGAGTGATTGCACCGCTTGATCTTGCAGTCCGTGAAGGTCGTAGCAGTGGGCATCCGCTGGCCCTTGACCCACAACATCTCTCTCCTATCAACGAGACAAGATCTCCCTCGCCAACTACCGTCCGTAAGCTTGATCACGCGTTCAAGACCGACAACACCAATCTGCCCCGTAGTGGTACCATGGACAGTCTGGCCGAGCCTTTCCGACCTGGACAGGCTCTCACTGAGCAGATGATGTTGTCTGCCAAGGAGCAGAGTCAGCTGCCAGTCACTGGTCAAGGCGCAGCACGAACGTCAGCGGCGCCGTCTGGGCATCCTCTGCAGGTGTCACTCACGCCGAACCAAATTCCACCCTTCAACCCGAAGCTTGGTGATTCTCGCGAGAATGGACACACCCGTGGCGCCAAGAGCGAGAGCCATAGTGCCGATGGTGCGTGGCAGAAGGCCACCAAGAGCCGCAAAAAAGGAGGGGACGGCCGGGTTGCTGCACCCAGTGAACAACCTCCTCGACGCGGAGAGGACAGAAAGGGCGGCTGAGGCGGTTTTGCCCTAGTCCTGTGTCTGCACGTTCGGTAGATGCGCTGCCAGATGCAGATCGTTGGCTGGGTTTTGGAAAACAGGAAAGCGCCCAGGGCTGAATCTTGCATGACTGTGCTGCGCCGGCTTTTACGGACTCTAGTTGTCTGTACGCATTTCGCTCGACTTTGGTTGGACATGCGTCTTTAGGATGTCATCTGTCGAGCCCAGTCAAGAACGAGGGATGAGACATGCCTTCGAGGACAGGAGAGGAGTGATGAAGGATGATGAATTCGGCGCCTGTTGTAGGATTGTATGGTCTACGTATAATGAGGCGGACGGGAAGACGCATTGAGGCAATCGGTTTCCTCATGACTAAAATCAGGCGTCAGGTCAATAAGCGAGGAGAGTAGAGGTGGAAGACGCCTAGGCAGCAAGGTCTGCCAATTTCACAGCATCCAGTCATGGACCAGGGTCTGCAAGTGGAAATGCCCTCATTCAGGGCGGATAAAGATGGCAGATAGACCGTCGGACACAGGACAGCAAATGCTCTTTTTTTTTTAACACGCTCCGCCGACCTTTCTTACGCAAGCACCTTGCCTTCAGAATCACTCGGCGAAAAGAGGTCTCATCCTCGTCCAGTGTGGGAAGGACGAAATCACTTGTCCCGGTTCTCGCTGGCGATCACAGTATGGAGATTGCGCCATCAATCAGCTGGCCGTCCTCGCTCGCATGTATCAGAGTATACAGCTCGCGGCCGGTCCCTGAGTGGGTGTCTTGGTTGCTCTTTACACCACGGGTAGCGCAAACATCACCAGAGCAGCGTGCGAGTTTGGTCATCGCCTGGACAGGCTTTTTCTCCGTCGTTCCCTTTCAAGCCTGAGGGTTTCTGAGTTTTCGGTGGGCAAAGAAGGTACCCGCATTGCCGTGACTGGTACATTGCACATTGTCACATACGAGGGGGAAGGGGGGAGACGGGAAGATCAGCGAAACCGTACATGCGCGAGAACAATCTTATGGGGCTGGCTGGCTTGTTTTCAAAACGGTGTTTTGGTTGTACAGCAAATAGATCAGAAGCTTTAACGACGAGTCAGCATGTTGAATGGCAAACATTTTGTTTTAAAGGATCTGATGGGGCGCCTAAAGCCTTTCTCCCTTCGCAGTACTGTCATGACTGGATTACCACTACAGGTACCCGTGCGCAAACTGTTTTCCCCAAAGCATTTGTTACGAAACACTCCCCCAGATATCAAGAGTTGTCAGCCAACGTGTCCCTTCGTCAATTGAATCTGGTCAGGTTTGTTGGTTTCCCACGCCATGCTTGGTGGCGCGGTACTCACACCCGTCGCCACGAGAAGGCCAACCTCAAGACGAGCGCCCTGCGAAAGAGTCAGCAAAACCAGGAAGGGGGGAATACTTAACCTTTGTTCAAACGCCTGGCCGTTTCGCTCCAAAGTCCCCCTGACCTCTCCGCCGCAGCCCATCAGGAAAAACCCCGTCAACCTTGTCCCCCTACCACAAGAAGCAGAACGAGCTACAGTCGTCTTCTTGCCCCCAAGCTGGCCCCCCATGACAACCCTTCAGACACAACCTTCGACGATGCAGAGGGTAGGACTCCCTTCCCCAAAGTAGGGGACGTTTTCATGCGGCTGTCCGCCGCTTTCCAGAGCCCAGTGTTGCCTCCGTGGAGGGTAGGACTCCCTTCCCCAAAGTAGGGGACGTTTTCATGCGGTAGACAGCTGCTTTCCAGAGTCCGGTGTTGCCTCTGCGGCCGGGGCTGTGCGACCTGTCGAGCGAGATGAGGTGCCTGAAGACGACAAGGCGGCTGTAGCTCGGAAGTCCTGCTTCATGTGGAGGGCGAGAATGGCGTGATGGACTTTTATACCCGGTGGCGGACGCGCCGGCATGTGAGATCTTGGAACACGTCAGTTCGCACTGTTCCTCCCAAAAATAAGTGGGATCACAAGGCTCTCGTTTCCTTACCTCAAGAGACATTGGGCGAAGAAGTGCGGCTAGCGGAAGAAGATGAAGCGGTGTCGTCTACCGCGTGTTCGCACCTTTTTCGCGGGCGCGGGAATCCTGGACGCCTTCGAAATGGCGGTGGTCGTGGGCGCTGTCGATGGCACCGTCGACTGCTTGTCGGAAGCCGAGACGGACGAGCGCGAGGGCGCGGTGCGCGGGCGGTGGTAGCCGGACCGCGGGATGTTCATGGCGTCCAGATGGGCGTCGAGAGCAGCCAGGGTCGGGATCCGGACGGGCAGGCGATCTTGACGGAGGGCGGGGAGGTGGCGGGCGGCTGGGTCGAGCGCAAAGTCGTTGTCCCAGGGTCGTCCGGCGGTCTCGCCGTCGTCGTCCGTGTTGTCGTCCTTGAACCGCGAGATGAAACCGGCCGCGGCGTCTCTGTCGAGCTTCATCTGGTGGGAGGGGAGGAGGATGGACCAAGCAGGGCGGCTTGTCGATAGGGCTTGTCGGGAGCGGTGGCCCTGCGGTACATCCGGGACAGAGATGGGCGACGGCATGGTCAGCCTGGCGAGGCGGTCTTCGAGGGAGGGTTCTGGCTCCACCAAAGAGACACTTTCTTCCTCGGGGGCGTCGAGCCATCGTTGAACTGAATCTTCGATATTAGCAGGCTGGGCCTGCTGCTCTTGCTCCTCCGAAGAAAGATATTGCTAGAGACGACGGGTCAGAAGTGGAGGGCAGGAGGTGGAAACAAGAGACGATAACTCACCCACCAGTCGTCGTCCTCATCTGCTTTGGACTCTTCTTCCTCCTGGACACCAGCTGGCTTTTCAGCAAACTTGGACAGGAAGTCGAGCTGCGAATGGGCCGAGGGTGGGACGCGGACAGGCCACATCTTCGCCACGAGCTCGTCCGTGATCAGGTCTCCGTCCGTGTTATAGCGCTGACACACATGAGCGATGAGTCAACATCAAGAAGTAGAAAGCAACATACCATCCAGCTGGTGTCGGAGTCGGAATCATCGTCAAAGTTAGTAGGGGGGTTAGGGGAGGCATAGTCAACCTTCTTCTGTGGCAGAGGATCCTATCCCTTTGCCTTGGCAGAAGTCAAAGTCGTCTCCGTGTCGGGTTTCGTCTGGTCAGTGGGCTGGCTGGCGGGAACAAGAGCCTGGCGTTTCTTGGGAACCTTCAGAGACCCAACGGTAGGGAAGGCGGCTTTGAGGACCGGACGACTGGGAGGGACAAAAGTTGGCTTCTGTCTGGTCGTCTTCTGGGTCAACTTGGGCCGCGAGTAAGCTGTTGGCTTGACCTCGGGGACAGGACGGCTGGGGGGCGCGGGAGTCGTCTTGACCTTGCGTGTCTTGGGAACAGCGAGGGTGTTGCCAACAGGGGGAGGAGCCTTGGGCCTGGGGCGAAAAGAACTGGCGGGAGCTGGAGTCTTTCGGTGCTTTGCAGCCGGACGGGCAAGGGCGGGAGCGGGAGGAGGGGCGTTCTTCGGGCAACGAGCGGCGCGCCGGACATGCTTGTCATAAGCCGCTTGCTGACGACGAGCAAGAGACTCAGACAAAGCAGTGACCGTCGGCCGTTTCGTCTTCTTCAGAGCGGAATCTATGGAGTGGTCAGTTTTTGATTGGAAGGAAGAGCGGATTTGAACGAGAAGAGAGGAAAAGTCCAAGATGGATCGAGTGCAACTTGGTGAGCTTTGATCCTAGGAGGTATGCTGGGAGGGGATATGTGATGATAGTTTGCCTGTCCACTTGGCCTTTGGAGACGGACGGCACCATCACGATCACCACAACCCCAACAGAGAGTCTGCAGCAAAGCAGCTGATGCATAATAGAAAACGAAACTTACACGACATGATAACAGTGTGACCTGATAACATGAAGAAATGGGTAATAAGAGTAAGCGTGCGAAGCGATGTGGCGTAATGCGAAATCGTAGTGCGAGCGTGATCTGAAAACCGGATGAGGAGAGAAGAAGAAAGAGAGAAGCAGGAAGCAGCAAGAAAAAAAAACATATGGCAGAGCGTGAGTGCTTGTCTCCAGGCAACAACACATTCACTGGTTGTTGTCGGTTCTGCACGTGGGCCGCTGTCGTCGCGGCGTGATGGGCTGGTTGCTATGCAGTATCAAATGGCAGCGACGACGCACACAAAGCCTCAATGGGTGGTATATGTTAGTTGTGGCAGATGAGATGCTCGTATATGGTTCTTCGGGTGCCTCAAGGCCGATGATAACGACGTTGCTATTGCTATACCGACCTTCCTCTTGAATGCAGTTTCATCGTTCGTGTGGAATTACCAACTACCCTCCTTACCTACGTTACTGACATTGATGTAATACAAGGATTCAGTGCTCTGAGAAATCAAGTGATGTGAGCCACGCTGCGATGTCTTCCTGACGTCGGTTCCTGGGCTGCTGATGGTCAAACTTGGTGCTTCGCTTCAACTTCCAAGGTATCATCCTGTGAGACCTTGAGGTGCGCCTCGGGGGCTTACGAGCAAGAAGAGTGCCGGGTCAGTAATCCCAACTATCGACACATATGAACATGATAACCGATAGTTTGGGCTCTATAACATGGCATGTCAGCCACGAGTTTGATGATGCTGACGATCAGGAAGTCGACCTTCCTTGGGTCACCAAGCCAGCTACATGAAGTAACGAATGTCCTTGAATTCAAAGGCTGTTCTGCGTCAAACAATCTAGTCCAAATCAAGGTGTCATACGCCATGAATACGTTTCGGGACACCGATTCGCTTTCCCTTCTCACCAAGGAGATAGACATGTGCCTCAGATGAAGTCGGATCAGAGTGCGCTGATGTTGGGACCTCGAGGCGAGCCAACCGAGACGGAGCTAATGCACATTGCCGCGGATCCGCTACAGGGAACATGGGTCGTTCATCAGACGAGTCGCGCCGTGCGCCGCCAGCAGCTTCGCGGCTCCTCATCCATACAAGTGTACAATACCAGGCACCGTGAGTGAGCTGGTGCCTGTGGGAGCTTACAGGCGAAGAAGTTGTGGCCGCCAGACTTAACCTCTTGAGGGCGTCGTGGTGCGAAGGCCTGTTGATGCAAGCCAAGACGGAGCTCATGCAAGGGATGGAGCATTATGCTGAAAAATCGAGCCTTCACGGACGATAATAGATTTGACTGGCATGGAAATCCCCATGGACCAAGCTGACTATCCCATCGCCCCAAAGAGATAAGCTGATGGGGATGTCTCACATGTTTGCAGCGTTGTCTACGTCCCCAAAGATCTCTTCTCCAGCCTATTCCGTCGAACCAGCCTGACCAAGATGCATATGACATGGCGACAGAGCAGGTCAAACCTCCTGATTTCAGATCTCGAGCACTATTCTCGCACCGGTACTGCAGATAGATGTAAGCTGCGACGACGCCACGGAAAGGGGTCGTCCATCTCCAAAACCCCACGATTCTCTGAACAACGCAATGCCAGGGAGCTGGCCGCATTCCACGCCGTACTCGCCAAAACACCAGGCCAAATATAACCACTGCCCAGCGCCCTGACAGGTTACTCTTGGTCCGATCTCTGTCCAAGCAGTTATAGAACTAAGGAGTGGCCTCTAGGTCGCGCGATCACACCCTTCAGATCGAAAGTCGTTTGAGCCGAGAGAATAAGACAGATTGTTTGGCCCGTCAATACTGACGACACGATGAATGAGTCTCCACACTCGTTTCAAGGCTTCGATGAAGCTCAAGCCTCCCCGCTTTACGACCTGATGGCCGAGGTCGGCTACTCTGGTACGTCGTTGCGTTTCTCCCAGACGACACCCCCAGATCGAGCCATGTACTAATGTGGAGCGCAGATTTCGACAAAGATACCGTCACAACAGTCATAACGCCATACTCCTTCGCCTACGCCTCACGACCTGCGCTCCTCGAAGACCCCTTCATCGACGACCCCTTTGTCGATGAGGAAACGCCTGCCATCTCCTCCGTCACCCACCTGCCGCAGCCTTCCGACTCGGACACCAAAGCCCGCATCACATCTTGGCTCGACGCCGTCGACCCCATCGTCGCACCCCCGCGACCGCCCAGCCCAGACCTGTACCCCCTCGAGCCAATGGGCTCCAGCAGCAACAGCACGCCGCACGAAGACGCCGCGCTCGCAGCCCCGGCGGCGGCGGTGGCGGCAGCCGTGTCGCGAAGAGTGACAGTCACCGTCCTCGGCCCGGGCTTCATCGGCCGCATGCCCGGCCCCGCGACCGTCGAGTTCCAGGCGCTCCTGCTCGCGGGCCTGCTGGCCGTGCTCCTGGCGCCGCGCATGACGCTCATACTCGTCTGCAGCGTCTCGCTGTCGCGGCTCGGCGAGAAGGCGCTGTACGGGGGCGACGCGGACAGGCGTGTCGCGGGATGCTGCGCCGCGGATGAGCTGGAGGGGTACGAGGCCGGGAGGCGGGTGGGTGGCGTGCTGGGGATGGGGACCTGGTGATATTTCGTTATGGGCTGTATCTTCTCGATGGTCCAAGAGTGGTTTTATTTTCTGGCTCTGCTTTCGATTGGCGTCTGCGAGATGGTTCATTTGGCGTTCGAGGGCATTTTGTATTTGGTTGTAAAGCGTTGGAGGCACACATCTTTCTCGTTAATCCGACCTCTCTCTTGTTATACGTTCAGATGGCATCACTCTGAGAACAGCTGCAAAATGGTCATTTCAATCTTCTCTTCTTTCATCATGAGGTTACTTGCTGATCTACGTCCGCTGGCCACCAGGCTGACAGCCTAGCAGCCATTCGACACCTGCCTGACGCAGCCTATCCATTGCGCTACCACGTCCGCTGTCGAGGTCGGGCGAGCGGGTTAGAAATCCTGCTTTCTAAACCTCGCGGCCAGCCGTCACGTCACACTTTCCCGTCCCAGTTCTGTTGTCACAAGATTTCCTCCTTCATCAAGTCGGAACGCCGCCGTTGCCTGGCCCTACTGTTTCAAGGGAAACGCGCAAAGAAGAAGTAGAAGAAGAAGAAACGAAGAAAGATCAAAAGAAGGAAGAAACGCATCCCTAGGTTGTTGTCGTTGTCCAGTCGTACAGTGTGAAGGTAATAGATACAAAGGGAAGAAAAAGACTGTTCCCTGTGTGGGGCGCGATTGCGTCGCTCGCTGTTCGTTCGTCTCATTCGGTTGATGCAAAAAAGAAGTGACTTCAAACGCCAGAAGCTATGATGTATCGATGTGCACGGTTTCAGTAGGGAGGGAGGGCAGCCTGCCCGCAGCAGCTCAGGCTATTAGTGGGCGGGCCGTGGGGGCGGCTGCCAGCCGTTGATATATGCCATGAGGCCCACGCCTATTAGCACTACGCCGAGCATCGAGGTGTATGGCACTCCGTCGACCAATGCTCGCTTGTGCATCAGGGCTCCAGTCGACGCTGTGAGCGGCGTGATTGTGTTCGCCCTCGAGAGTGTGGGCCTGTCGGCGGGATCCTCGACATGGGATTTGCTCACGCCGTTTGCCTGCTCGAGAGGTCCCTCGGACTGTTCTCGTGATGCTCGGCTGCTGCTGCGACCACGTCCCTTCGAGGGCGACCGGCTCTTGGCGAGTTCGGCAGCTTGTCGCGCCTCCTCTTCCTTGCGGAGCTTGACAACCATTTCGGCTAGGGTTTGGCGATCCGTATCTCTCTCGGCTTCGGCCTTTTCGCAACGCTGCTTCCACGCCGCCATCTGCTGCTTCAAGTCGTTCATATCCGACATCATAGAATCAATCTTGGTCTGGAGCTGGACGGTGACCTCTTCCACCTTATCGACCGGCGCTGCATCCGGTTGATTGACATCGGATTGGTCGTCAGCATCGGCAACGGCGTCGGCGTCGGGCATATCGACGTCGACAGGCTCGGCACCTTCGCGCGGTGGCTCGAACGCTTCCTCCAACAAATCTGATCCACCCTCGTTGGACACGCCGTTCGCTTCTTTGGTGATGGCCGTGTCCTCTAGTCTCCTCGCGAGATCTTCAGCCAGTTCGCGCGCTTCACGCTCCCTCTGCAACATTTCTTCCAAGTCCTTCATCCTGGTTGTCTGCGTGTCGATTTCCTTTTTCGCGTTGTTGAGCGCCTCGGTCAGTTGGATGATTTGGCTCATGTTGTCGGGACGCACGGGCGACGAGTTGGTCGGGTGCGACTTGGGTCGTTCGGTGGCGGCCCGTTTCAGAGAGGGGACATCGGGCTTCTCGGGCAGTGGCTGCTGTGGCGGCGGAGCGGGAGGATCCGAGAATCTCGCCTTAGAGTCGGCTCGAAAGGGCAGCCCGTTGCCGTTCATCATGTGCTTTGGAAGTTCAGGCACGTCTGGCTTGTCCAGGTCCTTGATGTCTTCCTTTGAGAGAAGGGCACCAATGAACTGTCCGGTACGGCCCAAGTCTTGCGATTGCAGGCGGGCGCTTCGCATCTCGTTCTGACACAGATTAGTTTACCCTGGATTTCACATGTGGCAAGGAGACACTCACGTGAAGACGCTTGATGATGTGGTCCGAGGTGACCGAGGACAACATGAAGGGCCCACGACCAGGTGCGCCGTTCATCTGGGGGCCTGCGATACCGCCGGCGGGCATCATTCTCCCGTTGCTGGCCATGGAGACGTTGCTGCCCTGCCTTCCCCTGTACTGCTGCATGCCGCCGCCTTGGGAGGGTCCGAGCATGGCGCCGCCGTTTGCAGGATCGAGATCACCAAAGTTCATCTCCATGACGTTGCTGGAGGGGTTGGCAAAACCGGCATGTTCCACCTTGGCAGCCACCTTGTGATGGACGACGGTCTTCTGATCCTCGCTGACAATGTCAATGCCCAGCTCGAGATGATCCTGGGTCTGCAGCTCATGAGGCTCAGACTCGCGGTTCTCGGCGGAGAGGCGGCTGCCGTTGACAAATGTTCCGTTTGACGACTTGACGTCGCGGATGAAGATCTTGCCCATACGGTCAGCCCATACCTCGGCGTGTTGCCTGGACAGCACTTTGCTGTCGAAGAAGCCATTCGCAGGCGTCGGGATCGTCTTTTGGTTGGTCTGGCGGCCGATACGGAGGCTGTCGGGGTAGAACGGCACGGAAATGGTTTTGCGCTCAAAGGTGCCGTTGAGAGAGAGTAGGAAGAGCACAGGCTGGCCGGAGGGCATGGGCTCGCCGAGGGGACGTGCGCCCAGGCTCTGCTGCTGTGCCATCTGAGGTTGTCCGGGGTTCTGCTGCAGTGAGCTGCCGTTGATCGTGTGGCCGTTCATGGGGCCGCGCCCTGCCGGCATCCTGCCGAGCTCGACAGGGTTTTCTGGTTTCCCGGGCGGCCAGGGTGCCTTGGGCTGGGGACGCTTGCGGGATGCGGTGCTTGACCACGAGCTCATGTCCGAGTTGGTCGACGGCGCTCCATTCGACTGCGAGCCGTTGGTGGCGACGGTGGTGGTGGAGGAGGCGGAGGAAGTCGAAGAGATGGAAGAGGAAGAGTTGCTTCGCTGCATGGGCTTCCGCGGCATGAACATGCCTCTGACGTCGTCGGAGTTCATCGAGTTGAGGTTTTGGCCGCCGTTAATATTCCATGCCGAGCGGTTGATCTGCTGGAAGGAGGGAGGATTCGCCACGGCCGTCATGAGGAAAAGAGTCGTTCGGGAGAAACTGTCGCAGATGGTGAGGAAGCTAGCCGGCGTTCGTCGATGGGGAGAGAAGGAGGGAGGAGGGCGAAAGAGGGAGGCTCAACGCGTCGGCAGCTCGATGGTTGGTCGCTCCTCCGACACAGAAACGACTCGAACAAGTCGTCTCCGAGATGCCCAGTCGCGTCGGGGATATCGTAGGTATGGCGGCAGGTCGTGAAAATGATGTGACTAGGCGCAAGAAGGAAAAGTCAGTGGTCACGGTCGCAGGGTCAGGGAGGAGGGTGGCCGGTAAATGGGGCGGCCAGGCGGCCTGACACGAGCACGGACCCCGACAGCGACCGAAAAAATGACATGGATACAAGGAGCAGCGGGCCGTGAACTCACCTAGCAATTGAAGTCGATGGCAAGCAACGTGGTGCGCGTCTGGCGACAGCAAAAAGTCGAAGGCCAGTTGAGGTGGTCAAGGGTCAATTCAGTTGGGAGGACGTCTGGCTCTTCGTCCCAGCAATGATTCGCTAAGCGCTTAGCGTCAGGACACACGGGCCAGAGACCACACGCGCCTGAGCCGCACGGCCAGGGACGTTGCACAGTGACAGTTGACGGCCACTGGCTGCGATGCAATGGGGCTGCCGCAAGAGAGAGAGAGAGAAGGAAAAAGCAACGGGTAGCCAGCTAAGGCATACGATGGTCCAAAGTCACTTGCATATGGGATTCTTGCACGAGCATCATGAAATGCTTGTCGTGGGCTATTCCACACCGACGTTTTGGGCTGGAAAGCTCCGTTAGACGCCTGACAGACCCGCAAAACTAGCTCACGTGAGAGCACAGCACTGGACGCGGCCTGGATACGGCCATATCGTTAGGGGGTAGGCATCGTTTTAGTGGAAGTAGGGAGCCAGGTAAAGTCTCGGATAGCACTGTGGTAGGCCCATCCCCTCCTGTCAGGCCATCCGTCTCCCCATACGATCCACGTGACATGAGAGGCGCACGGGCCATTTCAAGCTCCCCTGCTGTTGCTCCTCCACTCGAGTCGAAACCATTGGATCGCGGGCGGCTGTCAAAAGTTCAGTGCCTGACCCGACGCTGTTGAAGTTGCGATACCACCAGACGCGAGGTCCTGTCCTGTCCGATTCCACGACATCATCTCTGTCCCCTAGACGCAGAATCCCTGCTACGATCCCCACCGCCAATATGCCTCCCATGCCCTCGAACGCTGGCGGCCACCCTGCCGCCCAATCCAACCTGGACAAGCGTACGAGCACATGAAAGAACCCTTGCTAGCAATGGCGTCGGAGTACTGACAAGTCGCAGTCAAGATGGGAGCCATCATGGGTGGCAGTATGTGAACGAAGCATTCTCAGCGCAAGACCCCAAGCTCACAGGATTACTAGCTGTCGGTACCATCATGGGCTTCATCTTTGGTACGTCGGCCTGCCCACTACAGCCACTCGGCCGCACCGAACCCGAGAATGCGCCGACTGACAGAGAAAATGACAGGCACCGTCAGCATCTTCCGCTACGGCGCTGGACCTAACGGTATCATGAGGACCCTGGGCCAGTACATGCTGGGATCCGGGTCAACATTCGGGTTCGTCTCGAGACCTCTCACGGTCTCTCCCCACCAAGACGAGGCCGACCCTGGCTGACCACCCGCGTTCCAGTTTCTTCATGTCCATCGGCAGCGTCATCCGATCCGACACATCCCCTATCGTCGAGCAGGCCTACCGTCAGGCGCAGCGAAGGGCCTTCATCATGTCCCACCCCGCGATGCAGCGCCCGAGGTCCGACTAGATCGATCGACCGACCGGAACGAGACACACCACGCACAGGCGCGGCATGTACATCACCACCCCGCCCTCGAGAATCATTCGATCGTGTTTTCGGAGGCGTCTGTGTATAGTAGGAGAGATCTGGGGCCATATCACGACTGGATGATTAGAGAACCCTGCCCAAAAAAAAAAAAAAAAAAAAAAAGGATTGCATCTTCAAGCTGTTACAAAATACGTTCTTCATCAAGTGTTGGAGTGAGATCGTGGCCCGCCCTTGGGAATCATTCGCTGAGCTCTTTCCTTCCGAGAGACGCTGATATGATGTTCACATCATCGCGTCTTTGTCTTGTTCCACCTCATTCCAGGTAGGTACTCTGTGTACCCAACGGACATGGACATTTTGTCGTCATTCGAGGTATCGCCCTGCAGTCAGCGCAGCCTTGCAGGTACAGCGCCCGAAGCCCATGGAACGATATGGCAGCAGCTTGAGAAACCACGAATGCTTTTCTGGTTCACAATCTATTTCTTCAGCTGTCCAGCCTTCAACGACGTCTCAACCTCGTTTGCGACCCCACGAGCTGAACATGCCTGCAACCTGCGGCTGCGGAAGTCCGCCGCGCATGTCACCCTCTCCGCCGGCTGGAGTACTTCCCCGTTGCATTGAAGCCTTTCTCCCGCCTTCAAGAGGGCCCAGGCCTATCAAGTCGCTGTGCAGCCTTGACACCCTGTGCGCCATGCAGCACTTCGGCTCGCCTCGAACCGCGCCATCGACCAAACGCCATGTTGTGCTGAATGACAGATGGAACGCCGACTACCCTATTTGGCTCTCACTCTGCAACTGTGCAGGCCTTGCATTGTGTAATCCCGCCGCCATCCCCTGTCTTTCGTCATGCATATGACGAAAGCCGAATCCAAGACCTGGTCCATGGTCGTATCATTTCATCCATAGATCCCCCGCCCAATATAACTCTTCGACTGCCCGCCTATGTTCAATCATCATCTTGCCGTATCTTTTACGTCGACCTCTTCTTACTCTTGACTTTGACGTTCGCGAGTCTGTCATGTTTGCCAAGTCGTTCGCCGTGTGGTATATGAGCCTCGGTGCTGCAGCCGCCGCTGGGGCGAGCTTATACGACTACATGTAAGCGACGTGAACCATCCTCACCTCCGCCTCGTCCTGACAATGCACAGAGTCGTGGGTGGTGGAACGGCGGGTCTCACCATTGCCAGGCGTCTCAGCGATGACCCAAAGGTCTCCGTGCTAGTTCTAGAAGCGGGCGACGACCATTCCGAGGACCCCAATGTTCTGGTGCCCGGGCTTTTTCCAGCCATGTATGGTGATCCTAAGTATGACTGGGACTACAAGACGATCCCGCAGGTACGAGCGAGAATCGTGGATGTGCCCTCATTGCCTTCTAACAGTGCGCAGACTGCCGCCAACGATAGGGTATTCGCCCACATTCGCGGTAAACAGCTCGGCGGCTCATCCGCCGTCAACTTCATGTTCTGGACCCACGCCGCGCAACAGGATATTGACAACTGGGGCGAGCTCGGCAACAAGGGCTGGTCGTGGAAGGAACTGGCGCCATACTATGAGAGGTCGGAGACCTTCATGCCGCCCTCTCAACAGCTGATCCGGGACTTGCGCCTGGAGTTTGTTGACCCCAAAGCCCATGGCTACAAAGGACCCATTGTCAACGCGTTTCCGGATCTTCACAGCCCGCTACTTCCGGCGTGGCCACGCACATACGAGACTCTGGGACTGGGCGTCAATGGAGACCCTCGAAGCGGGCTGGCGCTGGGGGGATTTGTTAATCCCCTTAGTATTGACCCTTCGCGACGCGAAAGGAGCTATGCTGCGAATGCTTACTTGGGTCCCATTCGCAAGCGAACGAACCTCAAAGTCATCACCGGGGCTTTTGTCGACAGGATTCTAGTGGACAAGATTCGGTCCACGGCGGTAGCCACTGGTGTCCAGTGGACCAAGGACGGCGCCAAGGACACGGCAGATGCTCGTAGCGAGGTGATTCTCTCCGCCGGATCGATCGCCTCGCCTCAGATCTTGGAGCTCTCGGGTATTGGGGGCAGGCGGCTCTTGCAGAAGCATGGCATAGAGGTGAAGGTGGACAATGCCAATGTCGGACAGAATTTGCAGGATCATCTTTACGTTCCACTTGGGTAAGTACCCTTCCACAACTGATATCGGT